GCAAGTGGGTGAACCAGCTCAAGTACCACATGACGAAACACACAGGTGAGTGCTGCCCACTGGGGACGGGCCATGGGGCACCAGGGAGGGCTTTGGGGCTGTGCGGACTCCAGCTCCATGCTTCCTTTGCTACCAGCTGGAGGTGGGGTGCCTTGGAATTTTGGGATTTTGAGGTGTCCACTGGCAGGCTGCGCCTTCCCAGCACTGGGGATGGTGTGTAAGGGGGGTCCCTGGAGACTGATGCCATTATGGGGACAGCGAGACCCGCAGGAGGGAGGGCACCATACCCCATCCCAGCCCCTTCCCCATTGCTGCAGGCCTGAAGCCGTACCGCTGCGATGAGTGCGAGTACTGCACCAACCGGGCGGACGCCCTGCGGGTGCACAAGGAGACGCGGCACCGGGAGGCCCGCTCCTTCATCTGCGAGCAGTGCGGCAAGGCCTTCAAGACCCGCTTCCTCCTCAAGACCCACCTCAAGAAGCACAGCGAGGAGAAACCCTATGTCTGCAACGCCTGCGGGCGGGCTTTCCGCTGGGCAGCTGGCCTGCGCCACCATTACCTGACCCACACCAACGAGCACCCCTTCTTCTGCCGCTACTGCCCCTACAAGGCCAAGCAGAAGTTCCAGGTCATCAAACACATCCAGCGACATCACCCCGAGCGTGGGGCCAGTGACCCCAGCCAAGGGGTGGGCAAGGACCCCAGCACGCCCACTGTCCACCTCCATGCTGTGCAGAGGGAGAGGCGGGCCGAGGGGCCCCCCAGGACGGAGCAGGAAGGAGGGTGCCCCATGGAGAAGGATGGCACTTCGCAGTGAGGCCAAATCCTGACTGCTTTAAGGCCTCAGTGGTGCAGGCCTGCTGCAGAGATGTATGTGTGTGTATAGGCATATATGTATATGGGATGTAAGATATGCAGCTGTATAAAAGGAATCTCTCAGCTCCTTTTAATCTGTTTTCTTTGGGTTGTTTGGAGCTCTGTGTGAGCCATGGGGCAGGTGCCTGCCAGGGAGAGAGTGCAAGCAGAAGCCCAGCTCCCTATCTCTGTCCCCAGCGCCACTGCACCCAGACCTGAGCCTGCCTGTCACCGAACAATTTATTAAGTTGCTTACGGAGGAAGGATACGGTAAGGGTTAGTACCAGGTGCTGGCTGGGAGCAGCCCTGGGGGCTGTAGGAGCCCGGGGCTCTGAGGACCGACTCCTCTCCCAGTTCTGCCCAGCTGGGGTTTGCTCAGCTCCAGCCTTGCTCCCCTGGCCGGGGGGGCCCAGCCCCTGCGGCAGAGCTGGGGTGCTGTGCACTATCTCTCCTCCTCACGGCCGAGCTGTGCCTGTGGGCCAGGGCAGGCTGCACATGGGAGCGCAGGGGGCTGCACAGTGCAGACCCCACACTCGTGTGGGAGGCAACATCTTAAACCTGGGAAGGGGAGGTCGGTGCCTTTTCCCAGCCCCTGGAGGCCACCATAAACAGGGGCACAGCAGCAACGATGACACGGGTATGACACAAACAGCTCAACAAGAGGGCAATGTGGTTGGCTCTATGTGCCCAGCCACTTGGGGCTGGTTCTATGGCTTCCATCCAGGTCCTGCTTGCCCCACAGCCTCAGTCCTGCTCGGGGCCAGGAGGCTCAGTGATGCGGATGTGGACGAAGAGCGAAGAGGGTGGGATGCTGGTGCCATCCTTGGAAAGGAGATGGATGTGGCTGGAGCCTGCAGGGGGGAGAGTGAGGCTCTGGCTGATGGATGCCCCCACCCCGCTCCCTAGCACCCAGCTGAGCCCAGACACCCTGCAGGGCTGCCCTGGCCCACCATCGCCACCAGGCAGCAGCTGCTCACCAGGTTTGATGTTGGCAAAGGCTAAGGTGAACTGGCCCACAAAGTCATTCCTGGAGGTCTTGTCGTAATCTTCCACCACGAAGCGGACGAGGGCCAGCTCGGGCACGTGGAGCTGGAACTGGAGTGTCTCATCCCAGCGGGGGTTAAAGCCTGGGAAGGGAGAGTGGGTGCTGGGAGGGCAAGGGAGGGCAGGGATGGCCACCTGGGTGCAGCAGGGTCCCTGGTACCACCGTGGGCCTCACCGTTGTTCTCGATGTACTTGGTCTCCTGGTGTGCCTGGTCTGCAGGTACCCCATGGATCTCCACACGCACCAGTGGGTCGATGATGGCTCCATCCTTGCTGTTGGCCACTTTGGGCAGCTGCTGCCCGCTGATCACCTGCGGGGAGGGGCAGTGACCTCATGATCAAAGGAGTATGCTCAGACCACATGCTCGGCAGTGTCCCCACAAGGCTGGGACCGACAGAGTCCCAGGACACTATCATGGCTATCACAGGGGTCTCTCCTCAGCCCCGTACCTGGATCGTCAGGGTGATGGGGCCAGGGCCCTCACGGCTGCTGGGGTCACTGGGATTGAAGAGAGTCTCCTCATCCCTCATGAAGGGTGGTTTGAGCACGTAGCCACAGCGGCCATTCTGGCTGAAGAGCCCATCACACAGGTCCATCTCCGTGCCAGCAGTCTGGAAGTTCAGGGCCACTGAGGGAAGGCAGTAGGCAAAGGGTTCAGGGTGGCTTGGAGACTGTACCCTGCTTGGAGGTGAGAACCAGCTTGTCCCTGTGGCCAGAGATGTGGGGCCACACAGGGGCCCAAGGCACCCCCAGGCTCCCCAGTGCAGGGCAAGAGCCTGCAGCCAGACCCGGCACCAGCCAGGGTTGTAGCTGGCACCAACACAGGTGCTGATGGTGCCATTTGGCACGGGACCCGAGGCATGTCCCCAGCCTGCAGCGCTGACGCCCCCCAGCCATACCAATCTGGCACCCCACGTTCCACATCTCCTGGGGGCTGTAGTTGGAGGAGTCAGTCCGCATCCCGCTGGGGTAGATGCGCGTCAGCTGCCAGGCGTTGTGGCGGACAAACTCATTCCCTAGGGACGGAGTGTCAGGGCCACTCATGGGGTCATTCCCTGGCTTGCACAGCCACCCACACCGCGTGTTGCTCACCCATCATTTCATCCACCCACCCATCCATCCTTTCACCCACCCATCCACCCTTTTACCCACCCATTCACCCACCTATCCATCCAGCCACCCAACAAATCACTCGCTCATCCATCCATCCATCCACCCATCCATCCTTTCACCCACCCATCCACCCTTTTACCCACCCATTCACCCACCTATCCATCCAGCCACCCAACAAATCACTCGCTCATCCATCCATCCATCCATCCATCCACCTACCCACCCACCCACCCACCCACCAATTCTCATCCCTCTCCCCTCCCAGGAACCCAGGCGTCCTGCCTTGCTTTCTAAATCAATAAACCCCTCTCACCATCCACCTACCCCACCCACCCACCCACCAATTCTCATCCCTCTCCCCTCCCAGGAACCCAGGCGTCCTGCCTTGCTTTCTAAATCAATAAACCCCTCTCACCCTCCAGAGCCAAAACCCAGGGTACAGTCCTGCTTGACCCTCTTTCTCCTGGACAGGGAGGGAACCCTGGTGTCTGGAGGCTCTAGCCCTATGCCTGAGGAAGCTGCCTGCTCCCTCCACCCTGGCCCACTCCCTGCATGCCGCTGCCCCCTCCACCCCACCTGTATCCCGGATGAGCTTCCTGGCCTTGGCCTCGGCGAGGGATGAGATCTCAGAGGGCCGGGAATGGCTGCGGGCTTCCTGGAAGCCCCGGAAGGACACATTCTTGCAGTAGATGACGCAGTCGGACAATGCCTGCGCCAGGCTCTCCTTGTCTTTCTGCAAGGCAAAGAC